AACTTCCAGAATGCAGCAACTTCAGTACGCGGGCATATTATAATAACTGGGACGTTCTGGAAAGCTTGCTATCCCGACTGTGTGTTTCATGCCAGCAATTTGCAGCTCAAAATCAGCATCACCTCGGGAGTGGTGGTTCGGTGGCATGCACACTGTAGATCCATTTCAGTTGGTGCGCCCTGGTGATGCTACGCATGACCTTGTAGCAAGAACGGTGCTCGGAGCCTTTCTGAACAAAATGGACAGCGTGTGTGCGCATGGTAGCCCCAAAGGGTTGGACCATGCACAACTGGCACCTCGTTCAGAAGCATTGCAATGCTTGTCGAAGCCCACAACATACTATCACGCAATGTATTGCGAAGAAGGAATTGCGCCTGCGTCGAACACAACATGGAAGTTCGAAGAAGACGTACCTGAGAAGCCTGGTTGGATTGCAACCGGTCTGGCAGACATTGAATTCGCGATAACGACGCATAGCGGATGGTTGCAATTTGAGTTCCTTGGCACTTATAAAGATATTGGATCCGCCATTGTGTGGATTGATGCAAGCGAGCTTGGAAAGTGGGATATGGTATCTATGGCAAAACCTTTATGTCAGATAGATGGCTTGTGGGATGACCACGCGTCCCAGTCGCGTTTTTCTTTGATGAGGGTGGCTCCTGGAGGCCACGTTGTCCATTTGCGATCCATGGGGCCTAAATTCAAGCTGCTTGGGCTGGCTGCTTGTTGAACCTATGTCAGCATGGGCGCCGACGACCGTGACGCTGCGCCGTTCTATCTTGATGCATCGCTCGACGCAGTTTGACAGATTTTGGCAAGGACATACTGGTTGGATAATTGCACATGGCATGTGTGGCCTCCCTAAATCAGTGAAGACCTGGCTGCATAATTCACGCGTTCCTTAGAACATTTGTTCTAGACTATTCTCGTTGTAAGGTGGTGCGGGTGCTGCGGGAGCAGCACCTTCGACGGCGCCCATGTGCGGGCATGCTTCGTGCTTCGTGCTTTTCAGCAGCGCGTTTAGCGCAGCTCGCGGTTGGCGCGCATTTGGCGCGTCGATTTGCGGGGAGGTCTACCAGAGGCCCTGGGAGGAGGACCGAAGAGCGCCCCCCCCACACAAAAAACACATTTGCCCGTGCCGATTTTTTTTGTCTCGCACGGGGGTTGCGCGTGCGGGTTGCGCAAAGGGGTTGCGCATGCAGGCTTCGATTTCGGGTTGCGCATGCAGGTTGCGCATGCGAGTAGAATAGAGCTACATCGATAACGGAGTGCAGGAGGGTCACGCAGATTACAGTAGAGTCGAGTCGAGCAGAACCGAGTCGGGTCGAGTAGAGTCGGAGTATAATGGAGTGCAGGAGGTTCAAGTGGAGTACAGCAGAGTCGGATCGAGTAGAACCGAGCACAGTAGAGTAGAGTCGACGAGAGCAGATCCGAGTAGTGTAGAGCCGAACGCACGCATCAATTACACCACCTTAGCACCATTTGGTGACGGCCCGCGGGCCGCGGCCGCGAGCTTTCTTTTTTTGAAGGCTGGCTGAACACTGCGGTGTCGAGTCTGTTGGATAACCGTGCGTACTTGCTCATGCGAAGAAACACGTGAAGGACTTGTCGTTGGGCATGGCCGACGGGGATTCAGCGTGTACTTTTGCCCCCCCTCCCCCCCCCGAGGTGAGGTGCAGGCGCGAGTCGGTGACCGCACGCTGCGGCTCAAGTTCGCGGCATCGGGTGCGGAGATGGAACGAGGGCTCGGCGGCGTCCAGGAGCTGGCAGCAGACGAGGGCATGCTGTTCGCCTTTCCGGACAGCGACTTCCGCGCCTTCTGGATGAAGGACGCCCTCCTGGACCTCGACATCGCGTTCCTCGACGACACGGGCCGTGCCGTGGACGTGCGGACGATGCGTGCCCTGCGCCCGCGCGGGCCCCTGGAGCCCGAGGAGCTGTACAGCGAGCGCCTGGAGGCCTCCGTGGTCCGCAGCGGTGCCCCTGCTCGCTTCACCGTGGAGGTCGCCGCCGGCACCTTTGCCGCGCTGGGGCTCGGGCGCGGGGCGCAGGTGACGCCGCCGCCTGCGCTGCTGCGGCCGTCGCCAGTGGGTGCCGCCGGGCATGTCCTCGGTCGGAGGTAGGAGCCGCCACCCCCGCTGGTCGTCGGGGAACCAAAAACCATGAGCACCAACTTTCGGAGGTCCGCGCAGGTTTCTCTTGACTCGGCGCTGGACCCTCCTCCCTGGCGCGCGGAGGCGCCGCCTGGTGGCTCCAGCGCCGATGCGAGAAGTCCGCGCGGACCTCCGAAAGTTTTGTTTATGCAATGTCGTGTTCCCCGCGCGTCGGCAGCCAGAGGCGGCACGGGGTACGACTCGCTTCGCCGCCAGTGCTGTGGGCTCGCGTCCGCCAGCAGTCGCTGCCTGGTGGCGCTGGGCTGCGCCGCTCATGGCCGAGCCGTCGCAGACTGGCGTGTCGCCCGTGGAGAGCAAGGTGGCGGGTTCGGAATGGGCAGCAGGCTCTGCAGGGAGTGCTGGCCGAGATGTTCTGCCCACAGCGTGCAGAGATCGCCTAATGAGATATCCTGCTCCCTGCAGAAGTAGTGCAGGTCCTCCTCCTCTTCCTCCTTCTTCTCTTCCGCGAAAGTTTCATTGCACTCGGCTCTGGTGTAGTGGGGACCTGCGCCCGTCTCCTCCAGAGATTCCTCTCGGTCTCTCTTTCAACGCGAGGTCTCCTCCTTTCTCTTCTTGCTCCCCCCTTTCTTCTCCCTCTCCATTCTCACCCTGTTGCCTCCTCTGTCCTCCGTTCCCCTCCTTGAATCTCCCTTCTTCATCTCTCCTCTCTCCTCACCTCTCCCTCCTCCTTCCCTCCTCCGTCCTCCCACACCTCTTCCCTCCTCCCCCTCCTGCCCCTCCTTCCTGCTCCTTCGCTCTGCTCCCTCCTCCCCGCTGCCGTTTGAGCCTCCTCCTCCTCCTCCTCCTCTTCCTCCTCCTCCTCATCGTTCTCCCCCTCCTCCTTCCCTGCATTTCCTCCCTCCTGCCTCGTTCTTCCCTCCTTCCCCCTCCTTGCTCCCCTCCCCCTCTTCCATCCCTCTTCTCCCTCTGGCAGGGCAGTGTCAGACGACCCTGAGGCAGATCGGACGGGTCGGGCAGACCCAAACGGACGGTTCGGGCGGGTGGGCCGGGTGGACTCCAACTGGCGGGTTTGGCGGGCGGGACATGGACGCCAGGAGGAGGGGCTTCAACCAAGCGAGCGGGCGGATCCTCAACGGGCGGGCTGGGCGGACCCACCACCCTGCCTGACGGGCCGGGCAGACCTCAGTGGGCGGGTCGGGCGGTCGGACCATACCGGGCGTGTCGGGCGGGTCGGGCGGGCGGGCCATATAGCGGGGCGGTTGTGCTGGTACACAGCAGAGGCGTCGCGTGCGCCACCCGCCAATGTCGGCACGCTCCTCGCGCACAGCGTGCCCTACGGACGGGCCCAAATGCAGTGCCAGCGGGGACGCCCGCACGCGCCCGTCCGCCTCTTTCGGCGCACCTCTCTCACACGGAGCGCGCCCCACAGGGATCTCCCTGAAAATTGAAACGAATGCACAACTCGACAGTTTCCACAACATAGCTGCTACGGCCTCCTCCCCTTCGGCTACTCCTGTTGCGCCGTTGCGATTTTTTTGCGCATTTTCGCATTCGGCTCCCCCCATGTCTGAGTTTTAGTAATTACATGAGGGACGTATGCGGAAATCGGCAGCAGTCGCGTGGCACGTCCCCGCTGGTCGTCACAGTGTTTAGCGTCACATTTGCCTCGTATGTGTGCTCGTAGCATTTGCCAGAGTGCGTGCATGATGGATGCAGCGATTTGTGCACCGCGACACGTTGGCATGTCCCAGATTGCATTCATCCATCCCCCTCTTTCTTCCTCTTGCATGCCGTGATATGTCTGAGCTTCAGGCCTCCACTGCGAAGACCTTGCGGCCGATTCCGCCGACTCCAGAGAAGAGACCACTGACGCTGAAGGCGGAAGGGGAGGCACCAGAGGGGGAAGGATGATCAGCAAAGGAACGCTGACCACGGGCGCAGCGGGAAGAGCAGGAGCAAGGGGGTCCAGGAGCAGAGGGCGGCAGAGAGGGGGCGATGGGAAAGCGCAGAGGGTGGCGAAGGTGGTCCAAGTCGACTCTAGTTCGCCGCGCGTAGGCGCCAACATGGATCAAGTGGGTACCAAGGTGGCTGAAATTGGTCCTGGGAAGTTGTCCAAGTTGCTGCCAGGACGGTCCCAGTAAGCACCAGGCTGATCCACGGTGGCTCCACGATCGCTCAAATTGGCTCGAGCGCTCTAGATTCCCTAGCCAGGATCCCACATCCACCATGCCTTGCGCTGTGTTGGGCCTCTCCGGAGGTCTCTTCGGCCATTTGGTGGGTGGCCTCTTTTGGGGCCGGCTTGGGGGCTCATTCGGGGGCTCTCTCGGGCCTCCTTGCGGCCTTCAAGTGCCCTCCTGAAAATTTCTGCAGAAAAGCATGCGAAGGCGTGGACTTTCAATGAGCCTGGGCGCGACGACAATCAGGATCTTTCGGCTTGCTTAGAGAGTGTTGGCCAGCGTGGGCCCCAAGCAGTGATTTCCCTGCACTCTGGATGGATTTGTATGCTGTGTACCAGGTGATGCCCGCCATGTGGTGCAAACTATGTGGTCCAAGGTATGCGGTGCACGCTGTGTTGTAGGCTAGAAGCTCAAGCCGCGCTGCGCGGGCCACGCGCCACCCATCGCTGGACTGGCTGTTGAAGTGCGCTGGCCACGCTCACTGCGCCCGGGCCACGGCGGACGACTGGCCCAATTGGACGAACGTGGAGGACCTGCGATAAAGAAAAGGGTCCTTAAGCAAAAACAATGTTATGCCTCTCGGGGCCTTTTCTGGTTCCCGGCGCCAGGACCGGCAAAGCACCACTCAGGATGAGAGGCCGATCTTGGGGAAAGCCCCGGGGTCCAGGACCCGTTTCCCTCGGGGCTTCTTTCCCTCATGGCACAGGACATGGTCAAGAAGGAAGAGTTCATGTTGATGTGTCACTTCCTGATCGGCTTCGCTGGCTGCAAAACGACTTACACAAGCAAGATCCTGCAGGTCTTCAACAAGCTCATGCAGGTGCCCACCTGGGTGGCCGTGTGGGAGGCGCAGTCGGGACCCCTAGGGGATAAGCTCAAGGGCCTCCACGCGAACCTTCTGGCCGCCCTGGTGGTGCAGAGCGCCGTGATCACGAAGTCGATCTCGCCCATGGTTATGGCGTCCATGAATCAGGCAGGGCTGCTCCCGATCCGATTCGATCCGACTTCCAAACTTCGATTCCGACCTCGATACGGTCCAATTCGTCACGAGCCGAGCCCCTCTCCGCTCTCGATCTCAGGGCGAACCAGGCCGAGCACGACTCCGTCCCATCCTGGGACGATCTCCTTCCTCCGATCCCTTCCCGTCCTCTCCGTCCCCTCTCCGATCCGACACGAGCTGGACTGAGCCAGATCCGCGATCCCAAACAATCCGATCCGGATCCGATTCCGCGCCGATTCAGGCACGATCCGATCCGTTTCCGATCCGATCCGCTGTCGCGGTTCGATCCGGCATGATCCAGCTCGGACCTGGCAGGTGTCGGCGATGGACTGGCCCGAGGAGATAGGCATGGCCATGAAGAGAGACCGCCTCACGGACGAGATCCAGAAGGAGACGGGGGCTACCGACGCGGCGTTCGGTAACGACGTCGGCGGCGGGGAGGCGTCGGAGTTGTCGGCTCTCCAGGATCGGGGCCAGGCGAAAGGGGCAGGTTTGGGAAGGGGGGTGCTACGACATCTGCTGCATGCTGCTGGGGATGGGATGTTTTTCGCCGTTTTCGGTTTCGGGGGGCGTCAACGGGCCCGTCAAACAAATATTCAGGATGAAAAAAAGTTTCCGGGGAATGTCTCCGGACCTCTCGGGGGCGACGTTGTGGGGGAACCCGACGTCAGATGTCTCGGGGGGTACAGAATCTGGTGCATGCAGCCTGTTTTGACTTTGCCGCTGGGCACCTCCCTGCGGGTTTTCCGATTGGCTGTACTATGGGTTTCTTTTGGTGGTTCCCATGGTCCCTATGGGGGATTCTGTGGTGCATGCTACCGGGATCCCTATACGGGTTCTTATAGGCTCTCCTACAGGTTTTCCTACGTATGGGGCTTCCACATGGAGTTCCCCATGGGGTCTCCCTACGTGTGGTTTTCTATGTCTTACGGTATGATTGGCTTAGGGTCTTGGCGTAATCGGGTCCTCGAGTACAGTATTGGGTCTTAGGGCTGCAGGGTCTCAGAATCAAGATGGCCCGTTGATCTCAACAGAATTTTCGGTTGCGGTGTTTCACGGCCTGCGGTGCCTCCTTGTCCTCCGACCTGTTCACAGGTCTTGTGGCGCGCACCCCTTGGAGGTTTTTCTTCTGTTCTCACGGTCTCTAGGGTCCATCTTGAAGAAAACGCCATGCGGAGAGCGTCGTTCGACCAATGTGTATTCTGCCATTTTGACCTTTGCGTCGATGGCCAATTTCTCTGTGGCTGTGCAAGACTCTGAACAGAACTTTGCTTCGCAGTGCTCAGCGCCCTGCGGTGCCCCGCTCCCTTTCGTAATGCTCAGAGGGAGTGTGGCGTTTGCCCTCCTCAGGGTCTCTCGCGCTGTCTTGACGGCATGTGGGGGCTGTCTTGAAGACGTCGATAGTGGAGAGAGTCGCTGGACTCATTTGTATTCTCCCATTTTGAGTCCGTTCGGGGGTTGTCCATTCTCCAAGGGGCGTGTAATATTCAAAACACTTGTGGTGCTGCGTTTCGCGGCCTGCGGTGCCTCATCGGCTCGCCGTCTTGGGGGCCTCGGGCTGTTTGATGGCCTTCCACGGGCCATTCTTGAAGACGCCGCAGGGGGAAAATGAAGTTCGATTCGCTCGCAATTTGCAATGTTGTGTCCGTGCGAGGCTGTCCATTTGTTCAAGGATGCAGTGCTTCACGGTGTGCGGTGCCTCATTCTGCTCCCACTTGCACTCTCCCATGTTGAGTCCGTTCGGGGGTTGTCCATGTCCCCAGGGGTGTGCAAGATTCTAAACGTTTCTGGCGCAGCGCTTCGCGGCCTGCGGCGCCTCGCCGACTCACCGTCTTGGGGGCCCCGGGATAATTTGATGGCCTCCAGTGGTTATTTTGAAGACGCCGCCTGGGGAAAATGTCGCTCGACTCACACGTGATCCGCAATGTTGTGTCCATTCGAGGATGTTTATCCCTTCCAGGATGTGCAAAGTTCTAAACAGAACTTTCGGCTGCAGTGCTTCACAGTCTGCGGCGCCTCATTCTCCCGCCAACTGCTCACGGGCAGTGCGGCGCTCACACACTCGAAGGTCCCTCGGGCTCTTCGGACTGCCACTGGGGGCATCTTGAAAACGTCGGCAGGGGAGGTTGTCGTTCGACTCATCTGCGATGTGCAATTTTGAGCTCGTTCGTGGGCGGCCTGCTTCTTCCAGGTGCGCGCAATATTGTAAGCATACCTTTTTCTTCTTATGGAGTGATTTGCGGTCTGCGGTGCTTTTTATTCGCCCGACCTCCTCACGGGCATTGCGGCGCCCACCCTCCTAGATATTTCGGGCTGTCCAGGCGGCCGATGGGGAACCGTCTTCAGGACGTCGCCAGGCGCAGAGTGTCGTTCGTTGCGCCCTTCCACTGCTGCAGGGTCGTGCAATATTCGAAACAGAACTTCTTGCTGCAGTGCTCAACGCCCTCGGGCGCCCCGTTTCTTGGTGTTTTTTTTCCGATGGAAGGGCCCCACATGAAAACCTGTCAAGCTTGCCCTTAGGCCTTTCTTCCTCAACCTGGTGGACGCCCTCCTCTCACCCTCTGCTTTGCCCTCTCCACCGTTTTTTCATTTCTTTATCCTCCTCCTCCTCCTCCTACTCTTTCTCCAACTCCTCATCATCACCCTCCCCCTGCCCCTTCCCCCTCCTCATCCTCCTCCTGCCTGTTCTCCATGTGCCCCTTCCCCTCCCGCTGGTCGGGGCAAGCAAGTCGATTTTCCTCGGCGCCGTCGCCGCCTCGGCCAGAACGCGCGCGTTCGCCGACGGCTCGATCGCGAAGCCTTTGGGGCAATCCCGCGGCCCATGCCTTTAGGACATCCCCGCGGGCTGCTGGGGCGCGGGGGCAGGCCGTCGGGACAACCCCGCGGGCCAGGCCATTGGGACAACCCCGCAGGCTTCGAGGTGGGCGCGCCCGCGTTCAGGCGGGGGCAGAGCGGAACCCAACCGTGCTGTGAGCTGCTCCGCTTCGGTTCTGGAGCTCCTCGCTATCTGGTCGGACTTGCTTAGCGCCTTCCGCAAGGGCGCCGGCGGTCCGCGCTCCAGGAACTCTCGCGCGGGCGGCCGCAGGATCAGCCTCCCTCGCATGCGCGTCGCGCGGGAGAGCATGACGTAGATGTGAAGCCACCACTGCTCGACCGACATGCCCAGGCGCCCAGCGCCCCCATCCCTGGCGTAGTCGATGGTGGCGCCCTTGCGCGGCGTGCGGCCCTGCGGCAGCGTGGAGGTCAGGTGCGACGCGTGCGTCAGGGTGAACCCCGAGCGGCGCGCGACGTGCGGCCTCGAGCTCTGCCAAATGAGCTCTTGTTCGCTGGGCCTAAACATCAGCAGGCTCCTCGCCCGCGCCTCGGCCTCGCCGTCGTCCTCAGCGCCTCCAGCGCCCTGTAGCAGCACTTCGGCGATTTCCTGGTCGATCGCGGACTCCTTGAAACTGTGCGCCTGCAATAGGTCCCTGCGGTATGTAGCGGGGGCGAAACAACTGGCCCAGCGCGCCCTCCTCATGCTCCCGTTCGTCGTCTGGGTAAAATTGCAAAGAAACGATGGTGGGTCTGTGCTCTTGCACGAACCCAATCTTCTTCTTCAGGTCTTCCTGCGTGGCCGTAAGCCGAAGTTCCGTGCCGACGTGTGCCAGTTAGAATACCGTGGGTATCCCCTGTCTTGTGCATGTTCGGGACGTTCAGGAGGCGCCTGCCCGAGTCTGAGTCTCCTTGAAACGCGGTGCACTCGTTTACGGCCTTCAGGAAAACGAAGGTCACGCCCAGACGCCGCGCGTCGTGACGAGCACGCGTGTTGATCTCTGACGCGAGTGGCTCCCGGTAGATGCCCGTGCCGTAGCCGAACCGACAGTTTTCGTGCTGGCCCCGAGGGTCCAGGACGTTGTTGTTGTCAGTAATTGTCCGGGGTCAATGTCTTCTCCCAGGCAGACCTGACGTCTGGTGGGAAGGGCTTGCCTTCGCTCGTGTAGCCCAAGAGCGTGATCGGAGGGTCCCCGGGCTCGAAGCGCTTCGTGCCCTCTTGGTCGAATCGCAGGGGATATGAGAGAAAACTTCGATGGCAGATTGAATCTCCACCATCGGCGCCCCCGCGTGCTTTTACGACCCGTCGTCCAGATTTCGTTCACGCCCGTCAGGAAACTTATGCTGCAAGTGGGCTTCAGCTGCAGGAACTTGCCGATGTGCAACACGATGGGGGCGCGCCCGAAGTGGTGATGCGGCCTTGTGTAGGTGGACTCTTGTACGTCGTGTGTGTCACTGCGACCGTGGCAGGCGCGACTGTCCAGCGCGCTCGCTGTGCAGAGCTCCCGCCACCATTCTCACCTCCTCGATGACAAGGACGCGGTCGTGTTTCCACGCCGTTCCCACTGACGATGAGTTACCACCGCCAGCCCGGAGACACGAGCCCCCCCCTGCCCCCGATTCGGCTGACGATGGGTTACCACCGCCAGCCTGGACGCAATGGTTTCCCCCTTCCGCCCGCTCCTGCCGAGGATGGGTTTCGTCCCGCGGCCCGGAGCAAAAGGATTTTTCCCCCTGCGCCCGGCCACCGTCGTATTCGCCAATTCCTGCTCTTCCTCTTCCTCCTCATGTGATGGGTCGAGCGAGTGGCCTTTTTTAACAGCACAAAAGTGGCCCCGCTCGGATTGACCCGCGAGGGTTCGCATCGCCTTCGTTCCCGAGGAACCGAACAGTGACGACAACTACGAAATCCCGAGGATTCGCTTGGATTATAGCACGGTGCTGCGGGCCCCGTAGCGACGGGGCCCCGGGTCGAGACTTCCTCGCGGTCCCCTCACAGACAAGACTCCCGCCTGGGGCTTCCTCAGGATTCAAGCCTGGCCGGGGACCCCAACATTGGCGACAGGTTTAGGTTTCGCAGGGCCCGCTCGGATTGCCATTGTGCGGCGCGGACCCCATACGGAGAGGGCTCCCGCCTGAGATTTCCAGGCAAATTACTCACAAATGCCTCTCCTGCCTGAGGCTTCCTCAAGATTCAGGCGTGTGGGGGGGCCCAGAAGTGACAACAGTTACAGGATTTGCTCGGGTTGCCAACATGAAGTGCAGGCTCCGTAAGGAGGGGGCTACCGCTTGCGATTTCCTCGCGAGTCACTCACAAACGAGGCTCCCGCCTGAGGCTTTTTCACGATTCAGGCGTGAAGGGCCCAAAGGCGACGACAGTTACAGGATTTGGATGATCCGTTCGGATCGCCGACATGGAGTGCAGGCCCATACGGAGGGGTCCCCCACCTGAGATTCATTCGCAACTCACTCACATACGAGTCTCCACTTTGATACTTCCTCCAGATTTAAGCCTCAGAAGCCCAAAAGTGACGACAATGACAGGTTGCCGATGACCCGCTCGGATTTCTAACATGATC